AACAGTGGACAAAAGTAGCTAATACAGCAAGCAACAGCATCCTAAGTCCTCTAAGGTTTTGTCACGTGTGTGCGTGTGTATGTGTGTCTCTTCTGAGTGTGTACATGTGTGGGGTGGAATTAAGAAACAACCTATTTTTAAAATTCATGAACAATTAACTTAGAATAGGAGGTGGTATTTCTTTTCCTGCATGTGTTCTCTAACTTCTCTCAAAGTGTATTATTTTTAAAATACAAAAAAAAAAAAATAAGCTATTTCCATTTGAGGAGAAAACACCTACTCAGCAAGTATTCGTGAGCCCCGGCCATCTGGGGTGGTGGGGAAACACAGACAGTTCTGTGAGTCACTCCTGTTGATGGTTGATTCTCTCTCTCTCAGGTCGTTTTAACTCCAGTTATGACTTGACTTCACACTGAGGTGGCCAACTCACCCTCAATCAGATAGCACTGTTTTGATCAAATAACTTCCCTTGATGAAATTATGGATTATAATTAAAGAGAAACTAATTTCATCATGAATTTTAATAAATGTTTCTCAGTGTCTTTTGACTGCTGATTGAGAGAGAGAGGTTGGGGGGGGGGGACTACAGAGAGCTCAGTCAGAGAAGTGTTTGCCTTGAAAGCATAAGGTCCTGAGTGTCTACACCCCAGAACTCATGAAAACAAAGGGCAGGCATGAGCTCCAAGATGGCTCAGTAGGCAGACAGTTCAGCAGGTCGAAGTGCCTGCCACCAAGCCTGAGGACAGTTCAATTCCCAGGCCCCACATGGTGCTTGGAGAGAACTGATTCGTGCAAGTTGTCTTCTGTCCACATGCATGTCATGACACACCTTCCCACCACACACAAAATAAAGAACTAAAATGCAAGAAAAATGTTTTTAAGCCAGGAAGTAGCACATGCTCTGCAAAGACAAAAATCTCTGGGGCTCAGTGACCAGTCTGTGGTGATATTGTGTCCCCCAATATATTGTGCACCCTAATAAACTTATCTGGGGTCAAAGAACAGAACAGCCACTAGATAGACACAGAGGGCAAAAAAATGGTCACACACACACACACACACACACACACACACACACACACACACAAGAATAAGATGGTTTCTTTTTTAAGTTTCCTAGTTTATTTTCACTTGGCTGCATTATCAAGCACTGTAGTGCTTATAAACTTAGTTTTCAAAGGTCCACTCTTCCAAAATACACTTGTAATATTCTCACTGGAGGCCATGTTTTATAACTTATTTGATGCTGGACCTTGTAGATCAATAATTCTGGAGGAAATCTAATGTTCATGGAAGAATTCTGACTAGCCTGAGGTAAAAGGACTGTTAGTCCAAGCTAGCCATCATGGGAAGATAGGGAAGTGCTAAACTAACTCCCAGATACCACAGCCAACCAAGTCTAGATCCTCAGCAATGAATGAAGCCTTCTATGACTTACTCCAGCCATCAGCTAGCAACTGCATGAGGCTCCAAGCCAGATCATGTAGCTGTCCCCAGGAGAAGCACAGGAATGCCAGACATGGTAATAAACTTCTGTGAGATTTTCAATGTCTATAGATAAAGAATTCCAATTTAAAAAACAAAACAAAACAAAAAACAAAAACAAACAGGTACTTCTGGTAGCTGCCTTTCTCCATCCTGAGTGAGGAGGAAATGATTCTGATGAAACAAACTAACACCTGTCAATATGAGAGGTGTACAAAGAAAGGTGTTATATTCTTCAGAAGATAAATCATTTCAGATCTGATGATTTCTTAGTGTGAAGGTGATAATGGCTGTGGAGAAGAGGAGAAAATAAGAGCCTTTGAATATGGTGCCTTTGAATATTATGCCCTCAGTGATGCCCAATAATGATTGTCAACTTGACTGGATCTAAAAATCACCCAAGGAAACAAGCCTTGGGGCATGTCTATGAGGGATTGCCTAGATGACCTAAGAGCAGAAAAGCCACCCTTTATGTGGCTTGCACTTTCCACTGGAGTGGTTCACAGTGAAGACAAAGGAGAAAGAGCTGGGCACAAGCAGCCACCTGCCTCATTCTGCTTCCTGACTGTGGAAAGGCAGCAAGGGAGGGGGGCGTGGGGGGGGGCCCACGGGGCGTGGGGGGGGCGGGACACGGCAGGAAGCATCTGAGGGTTGCTTATTGGCATTTATCTACAGGCAAATTCAATGTGACCAGGTGCCTCATGTTCCTGCCACCATGTTTCCCCCCACATGATGGACTATGCCTTGGGATGGTGACCCCAAGTAAATCCTTCCTCTATTAAACTGTTCCTTGACAGGTACTTAGTCATCACAATGAGAAAAGTAACCAACATTCCCTCCCTATCCACAAACCTTCTACTTTTTACAAGGAAGGTCTATTAGGTAAAGATGAAGGATTCGAATCATCTTATCTGCTGGGGAAAAGATTGAAAAGTCTATGTGGGCCCACTGTCCATCTATCATCAGAAAGTCATTTAGGTGATGTGTGTAAGTACCGTGAGACCTCCACTCTGGAATCTAATTTCTGAAATGATGCAAATCGAAGGTCCAATTTGACGTGTATTTGTGTTTCTGATTCAACAAGGACATGTTTAATCAAGAGGCAAGATAGAAGTAGATGTATACTTCCTGATACAATGGGTGATTCATTCCAACAGTTCACATTGAGGTTTAGCAATTCTTCTCCAAAATACATTAAGGTGAATATAAAGCAAATAGGGCTTAGATTATAAGACAAGTCAGAAAACTTTGTGGACCCAACTATATTTACTTATAGTAGCATTTTCTTCTTCATCTCTCTGACCATCTGACTCATGGCACTGCTACATCTCACAATGCAAATGTCCTAATGTGACACCAAAAGTATTAAGCAAAACTTGAATGATTGGTTGGCTGCATAGTTCAGTGTCAGGAACACATGGAAAAGAAAAGCAAGTAGGTCTGGGTCTTTTCATTTAAGCCATCTGATTTTAATCGAGATCTTGGCCCTCCCTTCTAACCAAGGGTGTCTACAAGAATATTGAGTCTGAAGTACATCATGAATGGAATGCTTTTTTTCTCTCTCTCTCTCTCTTGAGTTGTAAGGATTTAGTTCTGTTGTGTAGATATGCTTGGTTTTGTTCTACTTGGGGATTGGGGTGTGTTCTGGTTAATCTTTTGTTTTGTTTTGGTTTGGTTTTTTGTTTCTGTTTATTTTATTTGCTCTTGTTTTCTTTTTTTTTTTTATGCCGAATGCTGTTTATTGAAGGAGGGAAGAGGTCTTAAATACAGGCTTACAGCACAATGAGAGAACCCCAGAGGGCAGAAGTTCACTACCAATGTTTTACAATCTTGCCTCTAAGCTGTTAACACCCATTATGCAGGATACACAGACAAGGAATTTCCCTTAAGCATTCAGGACCGTAGGGAATTAGCATAGGGAGGATATCAAGGTCAAGGTCAGCAAGCAAGGCAACAGTTACCCAAAACGGGGGCTAGAGCCCTACAGGTCCCCCTTTTATTAAAAAATGAGCTTCTGACTTAGGTTGCGTGGGAAGTCAGCAGGTCACCTTACCCGTCATGGAGACGCCTGCCCAGGCCACACAGGCGCTCTGTCTTAGGTTGGTGAGCACCCCCCAGGCATTACCCATCTCTGAATACTCATTATCATATAGGCTCAATCATGTGTGAGTTGCAGAGTTAACTGCTGCCAAAGATCTCAAAGTGGCACTGGGCTTGCAATCTGTGTGTTCAAGAAACAGAAAAGCCCAACAGAGGTCCTATCCCACCCATAGCCAGTAGGCTAAAGGCAACTGAGCCATTCCCTTCCTTAACGAGCCTTACTGCAAATTGGAGTCATTGTAAGATGGTATCCCAAAAGCGAATGGAACTTGAGTTTATAAATTTATAATTTTCAAAGCCAATCAAAATGTATATAACTATTGAATTAAATTTATCATGCCCAATAGAATGAAAGATTAATTAACTGTTGTAGCTACTGAGTGAGGTAACCCAAACCCAGAAGGACAAACATGGTATGTACTCACTCATAAGTGGATTCTAGATATAAAATAAAGAACACTCAGACTGCAACCCACAGAACCATGGAGACTATATATATATAGCATGGGGGACCCTAGGACGACTGTGGCTTATAATAAGTTTTGGTTTTACTCAATTACTGAGCAAGCCTCGATGAAACATTTCACAGTTAAGATGGGAATACATACTGTATCAAGCTGATAATAGAAAGGTGGATAAATTGATTAATTTGAAAAATGAAAAAAACAAGAAAAATTTGAACTGTTTAAAAAAGGAGTCAAACAAACATATTTTGCTGGAGTAAAAAAAAGGGGGGGAACTGGGGACTCATCATTCCTCTCCACATTCTATTCTTTCCCTTGCTTTATATATTTTAAATTTTTTACTGGTTAATCTTTATTATCAACTTGACATAACATAGAGCTACCCGGAAAGAGGTAACATCAACTGATGGATTTCACAGGTCAGGTTGGTCTGTGGCCATGTAGACGAGAGATGATCTTGATTGATGACTGATGTAGGAGGGCCCAGATTACTGTGGGTGGCACCATTTCCTAGGCAGGTGGTCTTGGGCTGTATCAGAAAGTTAGCTGAGCCAGTGAGCAGAATTTCTCCATGGTTTCTGCCTTAGATCTCGGCCCTGACTTCCTTCAATGATGGACTGTGGCCTGAAAGTATGAGCCGAATGGAGCTTTTCCTTCTCTGCATTGGTTTTGGTCATGGTGACAATCAGAGATACAAACATCAAGTGAGAATGGGACAGCAGGAACAGAGGGATAGGGGCGGGGCTAAATCATGCAGGCAATACTTTCACATCAAAGGTCTTGTTTGGTTTTGCTTTTTTGCTGTAGTGGGGCTCACACGCAGAGCCTTGCTCAGGCTACACCGAGACCCCAACCCTGAACTATATCTACAGTCCACTTAGAGAGTCTTCTCCTAAATGGAGTATTCCTAGAACATGTCTCATGAGCAATTCAAGGAACATACTGACCCACTGCACTTTTTAATGTCTTTTATTAATTGTACAATTTCTTATGAGATAACACACCATTTCACTCAAGAACATCACTCCTGAATGCTTACATTATTTGATCCAGCTATGGAAGCATGGTTAGCACTTTGATAGAATTGAAGTGGTTAGGTGTTTGTTTTTTGCTTTTATCGCTGTCTTCTCCACTGTTTGAATCAGTTCACAGGTTGATGAGACATTGAACACAACACGTGCAGTGTGAACACACACACACACACACACACACACACACACACACACACACACACACACATCCAGAGAAAAGTTACAGTGTCAGCAGCTCAAACCTTCCTCCTTGGCACCAGTGTGGAACTGAAGAACATCCTGAGATGGGAAGTCAGAGTGGACGCTCCTCTTCAACACAGAAATTCAAGTTTGACTTAATCTCTCAGTTTCATTTTCCTTTTGAGGTGGTAAGAAGGGAGCCTGGAGAGCCACATAACAACTGCTGGCCTAACATCTCTGCCATTGTCTTGGTCAAATGCATGGATTCAAAAACATACTTCATAGCATATCAAAAACATATATTAATATGCTCTTGGATGAGAAATAAAGAGAAAAACAATGCTGCACATTTTTCAAGATCTGGTGATAGGAACTCCATCATACCATGACCTGTACATAAGTATAAAACAAAACTACCCCACCTTTGGCAAATTAGTATATTATTGGCTTCATGACTGACAGAGGCCAGTGACCCAGCTATTATACAGCCCTCATCAATGGTACTTGCAGGGAAAGATGGATTTCTCCAGAAAGGGACCCAGGCGATTCAGCTATTCCAAATGTTACAAACACACATGACTTATTTAAGGCCACATCATCCTTTAGCTAGGTATACTCCTGGAACCGTTATTACAGCTATTATAAATCAACTACAATGTTTATATCTACCTCAAACCCTGCACGTGAGTTATTTATTGCCTTAATTTTAGGATTTCTGAGGTAATGTTACCAGTTATAACAAGCTGTTAAATTAAAAAACAAAAACAAAACAGAAAAAAAGAAGACCCACCACCTACAACGTGGCTGACAAGAAAGCTAAGCTAACATAAGAACATACTGGGCCACCTCAGACAAGAGGCAAAGATAGACTAGTGGGCTGTCCGACAAAATGGGTGTTTGTGAAATACAATCCCAGCGCTTGACAGAAGTTATCAATGGATATTTCTAACTTTCCTTTCACCATAAAGTGATGCGGGGTGTTTCTGGTATGGAAAAAAAAAAATCAGCTTCACTTGTTTCCATACAGGAAAATTCAAGGTAAAGTCTATACCCCCAGCTCCTTCACGTCTGTAAGTGAGATTGCAGGGTCAGAACTTAAATGTAACATTTAACTCAAAGGCAGGGAAATGTTCTGCATGGTCCTTCCTGAACAAAACTCTTAATAAATTCTACATCCTGCAGCTCAGTTTGCCTCATTTTAAAGAAAAAAAAAGATGGTTTTAGCCCAGGATGGTCAGCACCAGCATGGTGCATGTGGCAGGAAAGATGAAGCAGACCCACAACAGCATGCTTCTCCTACTCTAAACTCTCCCCCACACTAACTGTAAGGGCTAGAATTAGGAGTTCTGAAGGATGGGTGGACATCCCTCTGTTATCTTCTTTCAGGACATTTTGAGTACCACAAAACAGTTATCCAGACAAACTTTATTCTTGCATCAAGTCATATTTGCTTTGGCTTGAGAGCTTCCTTTAGAATATACATGGTTGGCAAATAAAATTGGTGTGTAACAAAGGAAAAGAAATAATCATATTTCCAAATAAAGTGTATCTCCCATGAAGTCCGCAGGATGGAAGGAAGGGTATTGGTTAAATATTACTTAAGGAAACTGAATGCCCAATCCAGTTGCTCCTTTTTAAAAATCCAAATGGAGGTTACCAAAGGAAAGAGAGTTAGCAAAGGACTCTTTGTCCTTCTACAGAGGTTCTTGCACATCCATGTGTATTGCTGCTGCTGTACCCACAATAGTAAGGCTATGGAATCAGCCTAGATATCCACCAACTGATGAACTGATCATGAAATTTGGTATGTATACAAATGGAATCTGAGTCCGCCATAATGAAAAATGAAATTTATAGAAAGATGGATGACTGAAATATATCAAGCGAGGCAAACCAGGCACAGAAAGAGAAACCCCTCATGTCCTCTCTCACATGTGCATCATAGCATCTATCTGTACATGTGTGTATTAATGAGGGAGTGGGTGTGTGCAGATGTCAGGAAACTAGTGATGGGCACGTGAGAGAGAAAAACAGGGGGGTTTAAGGAAGAAGGGCAGACATAGTAATAGAAAACAAAGAATATGAAAGTAGAAGGTGAAATACTGGTGGGAGAAGGGATTATCAAGCATGGGGAACACTGAGCTAGGGGAAGAGGAGGGAGCAGAAGTGAGGTTCAGCACAAACACAGCATGCTTCAAAATGCCACAAGCACACCTGCTACTTAGTAAGCTGGCTGAAAGTTCTCTGGGATATTTTTAAGAAGTTAGAATGATGAGGCTCATTGTTTCATAACTGTTACTGACTTTTACTGTTTGAAAGCACCCACACAAGCCAACCTAGGTCATCTACAAAGGGAGAGCAACAAGAAATGAAAAAGACACACTAAAATGGTTGGTGACCTGGTCTAAGCTCAGTCTACAGATTACACAGGAGAGTGTTTCACACGTTCAGGAACAAGTTAGTACACACGCCTGTCCTTGCTCTCCATCCCACAAAATTCCATTTCTAGAACGAGACCCTGAGCCTCAGAAAAGCACAATTATAACCTATGGGGAGGCATGAAGCATGTCAAGATTACTCCTCACAGAAGTCTGCCTATACTGACAGTGTCAGAAAGAAATTCAGTGCAGATCTCCAAAATTCTAACTATAAACTCCCAAGAAAAGGGGGCTCAATTGCTAAATTCAGATGAAGAAACCCATGGTCACAAATTTCTCAGAATCTCAAGAGTAGACTAAATACACATAAACTATTTTAAAGATTTGGCTGTTTTGCTTTGTGTGTTTTTTTTTTAATGTGTATGTGTATATATGTCTATGGGTTATAAGCAGCACAGGCAGGCAGGTGCCTGAGGAGTCCAGAAGAGAGCATCAGATCCCCTGGAACTAGAGTTAGAGAAAGTTGTGAGCCACTACATGAGTCCTGGGGACCCGAAGTTCTCTTACCATTCAGCCATCTCTCCAGTCCCTCAATACATGTAAGTTCTATTAGCACATTTGCATTAAAGTGCAAACAAAACAAAAAGTCCCTACTACAAAGCCCTTGAACTTGGCTTCTGTCTCTTATTAAATTAGACTCCTCCTCATTTTTAGTAGAAAGACGTTTCTGTGAGACTTCTACCCAAAAAGTGAAGTTTGGGTTGGGAATTACAAAGATAACGCCCAAATCATGCCCTGTCTCCAAAAGACCTGCCATGGGAAGATTGGATTTCCATAGCTGTCAATAGCAAAGCCTCAGGAAAAGGTTGTCTCTGCATTTGGTGCTGAGATACTTCCCATGGGAAAATAGCTGTGCTTTGAAGGTTCTAGAATTCATTTTCCCCTGATGAAACAAAAACATTCTTTTAGGTAGACTATCTGACCAAACGTTTCAATATGCCCTCAGAAGGAGTCTCTGCATGTCTTTCTAAGTGTGATTTGTTATAAAGGTAATAGATGATGTAGATACTGTGTAGACAATAAAGATACTAATAGCTTTAAAACGTGTTCCATTCTGGAAGGAGATAAAGGAAAAAGCAGAGGTTCCTCACAACAGTCATCTTAGAGCCAAGGGTACAAATACTGACAGAGGCAGATGATGACATGACTTTCTGGGTGCACACTGACCCAGCAGGCTCTGAGGTTCAGAAATTCATGAGGGGTGGAAACCCAGGAGAAATCACATCATAAAGGTGGCATTGTGTCCAGGTCCCTTGAATCAGTAATGTATTAATGGGTAAATAAGAAGAGTGCCCTGCCCAAGTTCAGAGGCAGATCTCAAATCGGACAGCATGAGTCTAATCATGATGCAAACAGGAGCCCTATAAAGATCACCAGAGAACAGAACTATTGACCCTAAACTACTCCAAATTACTTTGGGGACAGTGGACAAACAAGCAAACAAGTCAATGGATGAGGTGGACACGTTTCTGAAGATGTCAGACTAGAGATGTAGTCAAGTGGGTAACAGTGGGACTGGAGATATAGCCCAGATAGAGTGATTGTCTAAAATGCATGAAAACCCTGGGTTCACTTCTCAGCACCACGTAAAGCCAGGTGTGGTGGTGCACACCTATAATCCCAGCACTTGGGAGATGGAGGCAATAGGGTTGTAAGTTCAAGGTCATCCTCAACTATATAACAAGTTTGAGGTCAGTCTGGAATACATGAGATCCTATTTCAAAAGCACCAAAAAAATAAAATAAAATAGGATAGACAGATGGCTTAGTGATTAAGAGCACTCACTGATCTCCAAGAGGCCTGAGTTTAGTTCCCAGCACCCACATCAAACAACTTATATCTTCCTGTAACTCCAGCTCCAGGGGATCCAGTCCACATGTACATGTACACACAGACACCGAGAGAGAGAGAGAGAGAGAGAGAGAGAGAGAGAGAGAGAGAGAGAGAGAGAGAGAGACAGAGAGACAGAGAGAGAGACAGAGACAGAGAGAGAGAGAGACAGAGACAGAGACAGACAGAGACAGAGACAGAGACAGAGAGACAGAGAGAGGAGTTAAATTAAAAGTAAAATAAAAGACTCCTATCTGCCTTCTACTTGTAATGCCAAGTCTAGTCTCACAGTCCACTGTGGTTCTGGGAAGAAAGAAACACAACAGTTGGTGTTTGGGTTTGCTACTCTCCTTGCATGCACATTCCACTACAAAGAAAAAGCAAACGCAAAGAAGCTAAGACTCAAGGACACAGTTGACATCTAAGAATGTGCCTCTTCCAAACTAAACTCAGTCATGATGTCAATTACAGCATGAGTCTAATGAAAAGGATATCATTTAACCGAGATAAAACTGTTCCATCGCCTCTGGAGTAATAAATACTTACCTGGAGAAATGAACAGGAGACATTCATGCAACTAAACACTTCCCATTATTTCTGATTTTATTTTCCTATATGCATCTTCCTAGTAGGCCTCACAACTAAGCCAAATATGGAGTTGAAAACTCTATTCATATAGTTTATCAATTAGAATTTTGTGTTTGATGGTCTAAGACAAGCCATGGCCTTGTAAGCTAAATACAATTCGTGCTTGGTTTTATAAGTTTTTATTGCAACACAGCCATTTAGGCATTGTTTTGGATTTCAACAGAAGAGCTAAAGAAGATTAAAAAAAAAAAACATGAAACAGAAAGCCAAAAGTATTTACCATGTGAGCCTTTATAGAAATCTTGCCAACTTAATCAAGAATGACACAGTCTACATTCTATAATGTTGATTGATCTACATTCTATTGCAGTCTATTGATCTATGAGATCTACAAACTTCCATCCCTCCCCAACAAAGAAATGCTTGCAAAATGATGGTTCATACATGACTTACATTTTCCTAGGGAATAGGTTCTAGTTTTCAACAAATTTCCAAGAGAATTATAATTTAATCAGTTAAGGCCATAGAAAAACCAAAGACTATCTTTAGCTGACAGTACATTCAACAGTGTTTTAAATGAAGAGAAGTCCAAGGAAAGAGGACCATGGGATCTCCAGGATGAAATGTCGTGTCCATTCATCTGGTAGCCATTTCTTCAGAGATTTACTCTGGCATTTTTCCACCCCGATGTCTACTTTCAATGGCCTGATGGAAAAGTACTCATTCCTTTTGAAAAATTAAAAAAAAAAAAAGACCATGACCAAGTACCATTTCACTCACTACCTCCATAAAAGCAGGGGGTTCCTCGAGCCAGAAAAGCCTCTTAAAGTCAGAGACTTTCTGACAAAATCTTAGTGTGACAGAAACTCACCTCACTTGCAGAACATCCACCTTGATGAATTGAGTGAATACATAAATGTTATTTCCAAGGTCAGAGAACATAACCCTCCCCCCGCAACAAAAAAAAAAATAATAGAAATTAAGAACTAGATATTCATTGTACTTTTAGGACAAAAACCATGTTTTTCCTAAACACTCTTGAAAGTGACCCCTCTGAATAGAAACTCTGGGGCTAATTAAGACATTTTGAGGCTAAACTATGACATGTTAGCCCCTCTTGACTTCTTTTGTGGTGACATAAGACACTAGATCAAGTTAATTAAGAGAATCAAGGTGAGTGATCATCTCGGTACCCATCTCCTCTAATGCAGAGGCCACTAACTGTTTCTATTGAATTTTTTAAAATATTGTGTATATGTGATGTTTGTATGTGTTGTCCGTACTTGTTGGTGTGGGTGTATGTTCATGTGTCAGGAGATGCACACGTATGTGAGTATGTGGAGACTACAGGTCAATGTGACGCATCTTTCTTCAAACTCTCTCCAACTTTGTTTTGTGAGACAAGTTCCTCCCCTGAACCTAAAGCTAATAGATTTAGATAGACTGGCTGACCAATGGGCTGCAGGATCTGCCCAGTTGTTCTCCCCTTCCTCAACTACCTCAAACTAGGGTTACAGGCACAAACCACCACACTTGGCTTTCACATGAATATTCAGGATCTAAACCCAAAGCTCCATGCTTTCCCCACAGAACCTTTCCCTCCTGAGCCATCTCCCCAGCTCCATCTGCTTATTTCTAGACTATGACATCTGGCAGTGTCCACTGATGAACAGCAAAGAATGGTTCCAATCTTTAATTTCATAATTAAGGAGGCAGACAAACCAAAACTATCAACAAGATAGAGAATGAAACAATATAGGGAAGCGGGTGCTGAATGGCTGAGAACTCAGTTTTGAAAGTCACTGGCCAAAGACTGAGCAAACTTCAGCATAGCATATGCCCAGCATCCATAAGCCTTGAGTTGAAATAATTCATAGGCATGGCAATATATTATTAGTTTCCAGGACAAACACTGTCATCTGAATGGCATGGTTCAAAGGACTACTGTGAAGCAGTTGGGACCTAATTATTTGATACACCTAAGTATTCAATATCTTGGCCTACAGCATCAAACACAAAAAGTTACTGAGACAACCCACCAATGGCACCATAAAGAAGGAAGTGTTGGCGAACTTTGGCATGTGAGAATTTTTGTTAGGCTTAGAAGATGGTCAAGAACTAGGACCAACAATCCATTTTGGCTTCATCTATATACACTCTTCTCCATTTCAGGGGGCCATTTCATTCTGATTTTACCAGTACCCTCAACCCTGACTGGTGTGCATCAGGAACTCATGAGGGATTGGTATTTTTTTTTCTTTCTTTAAAGTACTAATTGCCAGGCTCGACCTGGACCAATTTATTCCAAGTCTCTGGGGCCAGGACTTTGGCACTCACGCAGCCTCCTAAGTGGCTCCAAAGTGTACCAGGCTTGACCCAGTTCCTCTTCCCACTATGGCATGTTTGACAAGTTCCTGTCCTGGGCTTACAGTCCAGACCACACAGGTGCACAAGTGTAAAATGTGCTCTTTGTTAAAAGTATTTCAAAGTAGGAAATCAAGTGAGACCAATCTGATCCACACCAGAAAGATGACTGACTTGACTGTCACTAGAAGTCCTAAGAGGTGCCCCAGGCTTTTTCCCATTACTTTCTGTACTCAGAGATGAGTGAGCAGAGCGGGAAGACAGATGTGATCTCCCTCCATGTCAAAAAGAGGAACTTTTAGATTGGGAAAGGTGGAGGGGAAGTTGAATGGACATGATCAAAAGGATAATACCACATTTCTGGCAAGAAATAAATAAAAAGTGTCTTTAGAGCAGAGGGAGTTGTGCTTAATCAAACAGGAATATTGTGTTTATGTGTGTGCGGTATATGGTAAGTGGTGTGTGTTTGGCGGGACGGAGAGAGTGTGCCCATATACAACACACTTGTGAAGGTCAGAGAGCAAATTCAGTTATCATTCTACCTTTTATCAGGTGCATTCTACCTTTTGTTGGAGACAAAGTCTCTCCCTGGCCTAGAATCTCAGCACATAGGCCAGGCTAACCGAGTCACAGGCTTCCAGGTGCCTGTCTCCACCTCCAATCTCACCATCTCTGGGATTACAGGCCTGTGCTCAATGCCCAGCTTCTGTGGGTTTGGGGAATCTGAACGCAGGTCCTTAATTGAGAGGCAAGTGCTTTACTGGCAGCCATCTCCACAGCTCTGCCAATGGATGTCCCTTACAACAGCAGCTAGAAGAGATACGGAAGTGTCGGACACACTCTAAGCAAGCGTCCTGTGCAAGAGTCTTGAAGATGCAAATAATACAGTGAAAACTGGACTGTTTATGCTTCAAAATCTGGAGGGAAGGAAAGGAGAATTCCAAGAGGTCAGGGAAGGGGAGAAAGTATATTTTCCTTTCTTCCCTTTTTATCAACATGTTGTCTTCATATTCTAATAGTAACCTTGAATTAATACTGTGTCCCAAAGTAATGGTTCCTCACTATTTAGCAAAAGATTATCTTTTCCCTGCCACTCATAAAACTTCTTAATCCTAGAGGACCACAGAAGCTTAAACTAGAGAACCCATGGTGTCTTTAATCACAAGAAAACACCTGGTTGTTTAGTCAGTCTGCTAGAACTTGAAAGTGGAACAAGCCACTCCATGATGTCATAGAAACACCTGACATGGCCTGAGCCTATGACAGCTTGGCAGTCTGTGCCGAGGCAGTATTCCACATTACATTTTCATTTCACTGAAAGACTGCTGCCTTTTAGCGTCTCCTATCACAGCCCTTCTAATAATAAGGCTTTTTTATGGAACATGAAAACAAACAAGCAAAGCAGGATAATTCACAAATTACAAAGGCAGGCCTTGGGGCACATCCACTGAGGAGAATCAAGAGCAAGACGCTTCACTTCTCTCTGTGAGTTTTCATATCGCATCTCATGACTGACAGGTATCCTTCTAATATAGGTGTTTCTAGAAGCCACTTAGTAGGACTTGGTTTAACAAAGGAACACACACACACACACACACACACACACACACATACACACATACTTACACAAACACATACATACACAAATGCATACACAGAGAAAGATAAGTAAATATAAAGAGCACACCACTTTCCATTAGTTTCATTTTTTCACTAAAACTATACCACAAATTTGAAGAGACCCATTGGTTTTTACTCTTTGAGCCATGATACAAGTGACTTCCATATTTTCCAAAGTTGGGGGTTGGGATATGATCAAGATACTTTGACAATTCATTCAAAAGTTGCGGTGGTTACCCAGGATTGAGTTGAAGTTTGGGAGCAGCAGCCATGACAGCTGCAAGCCACACTGCACAGGAAGAGCCCCTTTGTTTGAGATTTTTATAATATTCTTACAGATGCATATTAAATAACTTCCTCTGGACCACAGACATGATTGAACTTACAAAATAAAAGCCCTATAAATACTGCCAAGTCAGCCTTGCCTCTCTATCTCCCTTTCTTGCATAAAATGGAATATTTCCAACCAAGCACTGAAACATAAATATTAAAATAATAAGTGGGATACACTACAAATCTACTTTACAATTTCATCACTACTGTAGCACCTTGTTACCAGGGCCAATGCATTCATTTTGTAAAGAACACGAGAAATCTGAGAAGCTTGAGGACTCATATGACTCGTCATTAAATATTTAATCACCTTTTCAAGTCCTAAGCCTTTATCATATTTCATCCATCTAGAGAGTTCATTCTATACTAGAGATTCCATGGCCCCCTTTGGAGAGGAAAAAGAAAAAATAGGGAGAAAGAACCCTCAAGAAGGCAGGGTTCAATGATCTCAAGATGACTTTTCCTGTTGGTGTTGTAATGAACTCACTTCACCCTGTAAACCCACCAATCCACAGTAGGGTCAACCAGTAAGTCCATGGCTTTTTAGTCCCCAAGTATCAGTTTTACAAAAGATGCCACATCGGTTGCTTTGGATTCGTGTAGGGTGAAAAATGGATGTTGCTGGGAAAGAGAAGAAAAAAAATACATGGCATTAATACTTGACATTGATAATATATAAAATTTAGCAAATGAATCTATGGGTTTAATAAATAGGTTAATATCTCTATGGAAGCAAACCGGATTTCTCATATCTTTTGTAAAATCAAGCACATATTTTTTGACATGCATATTTTAAGGTTATCTCTAATTTTGGTATATCTAGGCTTCCGAAACACAGACTCTATTAATTTAAATAACATATGCAAGTATGCTACATAATTCCATCCATACAGAAATAAAAAGATTGGGTAAGACCATCTCTACAGAGTCATTTTAGACAGCCGCAATAGTAAAATGATTAAAATCAGAGACCTAGATTCTTCCACTTCATGGGAATAAAAACAGGGTGGTGGAACAAGATATCAATGTTCTGAACAGTAAATGGGCAAGGAAGGCATTCATGCCTTTGATATTGGAAAACTGGTTTGAATAAAATACCTAAGGCCATTTTTAAGGCCACACCTACAGCTAAGGGCTACATTATATAAGTCTTGAAGGGTTTGATCCATTCACAGAATAATGCCAGACTACTGGTATGTTCAGAGAAAATTCAACTCAGAGATTAAAGATTGAGAAAATTAAAAAAAAGAAAAGAAAAATCGTCTTTGTATACATCTCAGATTAAGTCAATTTAAAGAAAGAAAACTTAGACTTTGTGTAGAAAAGGTAAGGCACGATGCAAGAGCCCACCTATTTCAAAGTCAGATGACTAAGCCATTTTTCCGTGTGCAGAACAATCCTTGAATTGCTCAGTTGGGCCATAATAAGTGTCGGGCTGTAGAGTTAATATAATGTCAATCTCCAGTTAGAGAGGCATACATTAGATCGTGTTTGTCAGTTCTTCTAGTGGGAACAGAAACCAAGCAAACGAACTCAAAAGGACAATTCCTTCAGGTACCAATATCACACACCCTTCCACGTCACCTACCATGCCCAGGTCTCCAACGGTCTCAGGGTACTACTTTCAGTGGCTGGTTGGAATGGCTCAACCTGGGTGTTTTCTCATGCAGACATGAGATGACTCACTCTGTTGCCCTGATGAGGGGTTCAGTTTGCAACCTCCATTCTGCCTGCCAGTAGGTTTTCTAATTATATTTGTTTGAAACCTGACAGTAGAGGGCTGGATGAGTCAGCTTTGTGGGGAACTGAATGCCCACCCATGCAAATTTTAGGAAACAATGTAACGGGGGAAGGAACAAAGAAATAAAACCCAAAAGAAAGTAGGTGGTCACTGTTGAGCACTGTGACTCAGAACATGGAAAGATCTCCTGTTTTGCCCATTAGGGGATATGGGTTGTGTGCTGGCTCAGAGCCTTACACCCAATGTGAAGTTCTAGATTCAAGGCCCTTCATTCTGAATTCCCCCATCTGCCAAATAGTGATATCACTTTCAATTACTGACCACTTACACGGCACACTTACCAAGGTTTTGTTTTTGTTGTTTTATTTTAACCATCATACTTATTAGCTTTCCCACATCCTCTTGACATTTGGGGCTCTTTAACATGCTTAAAAAGCTTTTTACTATCAAAACACAACATGCCAAACCTCAGATTGTCTTGATGACCGATCCAGTGCCTGTCAGCCCCACCTTGACTCTGATTCTGCTGTTACCAGCTCAATACCTAGAGCTTGAGTCCATGAATGAGTTATATAATAATACATGAAACCCTTAAGTAAAAGTCCTTTAGGTATCTTTTAGTTTATCCCAGACTAAGAAAATACTTTGGGGTCCAGCAGGCAATCCAATCAACATGGAAGGTGTGAGTAGTCTTGTGTGGGGCTTTGAAGTTAAAGAGTGTTGAGAACTCAATTCCTTCCCTAAGCAATGAATAGAGTAAGAACAGAAAGGGCAGCAACCCCAGGTGGGCAAATGGGGTCTCACAAACAATCCCCAGGCTACAGCCCCAGACTAAGTTTCCCCTAAAAAAGGCCAAGACTTAAGAGAGAGGACTCTGTAGTATTTAGGATTCTTGTAGTGCCATGAGGAAGCAAAGAGATTCACGGACATGCTACCAGGATCAGAGAAGCAAGCCACCATCACCAACAGGCCTCCCAAATATCCCACATATGCACCTCAACCTCCAGGATTGTGGGTTCAGTTATCCTTGTTTTACACTGCAATTCAAATCAAGAACTTCCTCAGACATTTGGAGAAGACAATCAGTTCACTGGGAAATCATCTAACCAGCCTGGTTACTATTTCTGGTGGTAAACATCTAAGGCAGGGGGAGTCAAACTACAATCCAGAGTCCAAATCTAACTCCCTGTCTGTGGTGGTTTGAGTGGGAAATGTCTCCCATAAGCTCAGATGTTTAAAGACTTGGTCCCAAGGTGGTGATGCTGTTGACGTAGGTTTGGGAGATATGACCTTACTGGAGGAAGTATGTCGGGGGGGCCGGGGGGGGCGCAGCTTTGGGGTTGCAAAGACTCATGCCATTCCCAGTTGGCGATCTCTGCTTCCTGATTACAGTTCAAGATGTGGCACTTCAGCCTCCTGCTCCAGTCACCTGGGCTCCATCATCAAGGGCTGTAACCTTCCAGAACTATCTGCCCCCATCAACCCTTCTTTCTCTAAACTGACTCGGTTATAGTGCTTTAATCACAGAAATAGAAAAGTTACAAATACACTTTCTGACTTTTAAATAAAGTTCTATTGAAACACAGCAGATGCTCTATTTGCTGTCATATCGAATATGGCTGCTTTCAGCTTAATTCACTCATTTTAACAGCAACTGCATGGCTCAGTAACCTAAAATACTACCTAGAGACCTTTACCAAAAAAAAAAAAAAAAAAAAGAATTAGTTAATATCTGCTGTCAAAGAAAAATGCTACAAAGCAAAAGTTCAAGAAGATGTACAGATAAGATGGACCTATGTGTAGCCCTCAATCTGAATTAGGGGGAAAACTACTGGGAATACTATAACAAGTACATATCTGGGTTGGAGCTTTGATAATAATGTCCCTTTATTTGGAAAAAATATCTTTTTTTTAACCCTTCCTACCTCTTTACAAATTCCTGAAATTGAAACAATAGCCTCCCACCACGTGTTGCCCAGTGCTGAAGTCAGGGAGTTCCGACTCAGAGTTTCCATTTAAAAACCTCAATTCCACAGGAAAGCAGGGAATAGTTATGGTCTTAAAAGGCACGTCCATTTCCAGTACCACAATGGCTAATGCCATAAAGGGGGAGGTTGTCCACACAATCTTACATTAATAGACATGCCAAAACCCCCTCAGTGTTTGTTAGATTGTAGCGGGAAGGTAGACATCAATACCAGATGCTGATGTATAGGAAATATTTTTTTTCCTCAAATGTTTTCTGATGAAATTTTTGGTAAGAGGCCACTTAGATTAAAAAAAGGGGTGGGGGGATGTTCTTCACTGTAAATAGCTGAGCTACAGAGAAAATGTTCTTATATTAACAATTAGTTACAAAGCAGACATCGGGATTTGAAGTTCCATAAGATCCCACAGGAATTGCTTCCTGTCTATCACACTTCATGTGAAATTCTTTTAGTCCAAGCACACCACAAAGGGGCAGTCAGGCCTGGGAAGGCCTCCAGTTGGTCACTTTTAAAAAAATAATAATAATCCAAGAACAAATATTCAACTTAAACATGCAGATACATCCTCAAATGTCACACATCTATTTTTATAAAGCTGGCTGAGTATTGAATACTGGACATTTTTATTTTAAAGGGGGATAATGGAAGCTCCAGGAGTTGGCCTGACTCCAGTTCTTCCAATCAGAGAATGGTTCAGCATAAATAAACCAAAGCTAATACCCAGACCTGAAACAACACATGCCCGAGATGATCACACAGGTCATCTTTTTAGAACACTTTTTTCAATATCTTATTTTTAATTTTGTATATGCGCTTATGGGGAGGAAGAATGTTCGTGCGAGTGGAGTACCCACAGAGGCCTGAAGCTGACATCAGCTCCTCTGGAGCTGGAGTTATGGAGCCCAGCCACTTAGCTATCTACAACCTCTCTTCTATAACTCTTACAGGTATTTCCAAATGGCTCTTTCTCTGTGTCTCGGCTACCTCAATACACAATTCAAAAAGAGGTATCAGGAGCCTGCACGTCTACGATGCACCCAGCTGATCCGGATGGTGAGGCTGTAGGTAGGACAGAAGAAAGCACTTGGAGACTGCTGTTAGCAGGTCTAATAAAGGATCTCAAATTTTGCTCCTCCCTCTCTTGGGACTGGACAACATCGTAATTCTCTGGGGTGGTTACCTTTGACTATCAACTTGGCATAACCCAAAACCATCTGGGAAGAGAGTCTTAATGAGGGATTATCTACCTTGGGTTGGCCTATGGGCATGTTTGTGAGAAACTGCCTAAATTGAGTTCATTGCTATGAGAAGATCCAGCTCACTGTGGGCGCCACCATTCCCTAGGCAGAGGGTCCTGACTTGTTTTAAGAGTAGTGAGGCCAAGCTAAATGCAAACCAGCAGCTAACATGTATTGATTTCTGTCTCTGCTCTCAACTGTAAGTGGGATGGGATGACCTGCCTTGACCTGCTGCTGCTCTGGCTTCCTGGCAGTGATGGAATAGCCTAGATTTGTGAACTGAAATGAACCCTTTCTCTCTTAAGTTGCCCTTTGTTGGGGTAGTTTATCACAGCAACAGAAATGAAATGAGCACATCTCCCTCCCACTGTTAAGATTCAAACCTTGATCATTAAGATAAATCTGAGGTGGGGGTGGTAAACACAAGTTCACAGATAGCCTAAATTGTACATTTATCTCCAAAATGTACTCATCGCACATTCAACATCTGTTTAGGTAGAAACACTATTATAGAGCGACAGTGCTGGGGTTTTGATTTTCATCCATGTTTGACTGATAGGACAAACAATAAATACAGAAGCGGGTGCTTTACTCTACCTCTTTCCACCAACATGAAGACCAAAAGTAAGGAGAAAGAAATTCATCTAATTCGTCCAAGATCTGTTCTGAAAACTTGATAGGCCACACGGCCAGTAAAGCTATCTCACTTAAGTCTCAAAACTCACATTTCCCATACATTTACAGTGGGACTCCTCCAAATGTGAAAATATAAATTTCATGGACATAAATGTTTTCCAGGTTTATCAACATGGAAAACATCACTGGGAAAGATGACACAGTCTGAGCTTGCATCAAAAAACAAAAAACAAAAAAAAAAAAAAAAAAAAAACAATGAACATAAGCCAGCAAGACGGCTCAGTGAGTAAAAGCACTGGCTGCCAAGCCTGACGACCTGAGTTCAATTCCCAGGACCCACATGGTGGAAGAAGAAAACTGACCTTCTACATGTGCACTGTGACACATGAATACCCACAAATATATGCACATAAAATAAATAAAACATTTTTAAAGGATAAAAAACAATGAGGAAGGGCCCTTAACTCCTTCTTTAGTCCAGTTCCTGGGAATCAACCGTATCTCAATGGATCAACTCTTCCTAACTAGTGTTAAGAACATCATCTTAGCCATGGCTACTTCACTGTTAGTGAGTTAGTTTGGTAACACACACCAAAGTGTTCACACTCACCATAAGCTCTGGATACGTGGGCCGTTCTTTGGAATTTTTCTTCAAGCTTAAAGAAAAAAAAAAAATCACATTAAAAATTTAGAAACCATTTTTCACTGTGAGGATTTCAAGACCAGTATAAAACTGACCATAACTATCTTTTTTTTTTTTTTTTAGGCACAGAAAACAGGCTTCTTATCTCGACTTCTTCTACTGTAAATCATAAACTCTTAGAAATTATGTTTTAAGCCACTGTGGGCTTAAATGGATAAGTGTGGGTGTAGAGTGTATGTGTGTTTATTCTCCTTTAATACATCATGAATGACATTCGGTCTAACTCGTCTGATCCAGAACCAATGAAATTTCCAAACCTATCTGTACTTCCCTTCAGGGTAGCTTCTTTCCCACCTCCTGGAAAAGAAACCAGCAAGTGTCTCTCCCAGATATTAATCACTGCCTTCAGCTGCATCGTCCTCCCTGCCTGTCCCCCCTTTCATATACCTGCCTGAGACAGAAACCTACATTTAACTAAGGTAGAACTACTTGTTCACTGTGTCTTAGTGGATTAAAAAAAAAAAAAAAAAAGGAAAGTATATTCAGTCAGCAAATTAACAATTATTCTTAGAAATAGTTTGTGGCTGTGCAGTACTGTCTAGTGGTCACTCAGTTCTCTGAATACCCAGACATTTAATAACATTTGATACCAGAGGCAATCCTCATAAAACTGCAACATGAAAGAGACCAAACCCATCACCCCTGTCCTCAACCCACCCCGATTCTCTTTCCACCCCTGGCTCTAAAATGGAAAAAGAAAAGGAACAGTTTACTTGATGTTAGAGTTCCAGGCTATAGAATGGAGAAAAGGACGGCCTTGGAAACTATGATGTGCAAAACAACCTAGAGCTTTCTGTAGCCACTCGGCCATAAAATCTTCCGTGAATGGAAAGAAGGTTGTCAATAAAGCTGAAGAACCACAATGTGACAGCATATTGGGCTCCTACGATTTGTGCTGATAGATCCTTTTGAACAAGAGAGGTCTTGTACACGTGACATGCTCTCTGCTGCACCCACGGAAGCTAATCACTATGAGGGAAGTAAAGGACAAGACTGTGGGAGAGTGACGTCACTGGGAGACTTTAAACTATATAGTTCTAAGCAAAATGAAAAATTCTCTTTAAAAATTAAAAAGGAGAGGAAGCTTTTGAACCAAAACAACTTAAAAAGCAGCCTACCAGTTGATTCCAGACAATGCTGTGGGTAGAAGTCAGGGAACCTGAGACAGGGTACAGGTAGAGGTGAGGGCAGAAGTCTCAACCTGGAACTGAGGGCAGACCTAGGACCTAGGGACCTCGGGGACCAGACAACCTATGAGAGAAAGTTCATCTCAACTGGGGATAAAAATAAGAGTGCATTAGAAAGAAAAATTATCAACTGTCAGCGTGGGACTGATATGGGAATGTGTGCCTGGGTGAAATGAATGAAGTTTTAACCCACTCATGGCTTTGTATATTATGCCTATATCCTGAGAGTCAATGTTGGTGGTTCCCAATGGTGATGATCCTGTACCTCCACCCCAGAGGACATTTCTCAATGTCTGGAGGCATTTTTGGTTGCCACAACTAGTTGGCGGGTGTTCTTGCTAGCATTTGATAGAGGCCAAGGATGTTGCTAAGCATCCTTCAATGTACAAGCCTGTCCCCCACAACAAAGACCATCCATTTAAAAATGTCCTTGGTGCAGACATCAACAGGTCAAGAATCCTTGGACTGTGTGCCATTGGGTGGCCCTCTTTTTTTTTTTTTTTTCAATTTCCTATTTCCTTATTTCCTTCTCTAAAATGGAACTCAATTGGAAGAATCATCTCCAGTTGGTTCACATGCTATGTATTTATATTCTCATTATGAATACCTCCTACCTCTCTCTTCTGCCTTCCTAGAAACTAAAGGTTGTCTAAATTCTCATATTAGCAGAACTGCCCTCTGAGGACATTGCTGCCTTGCACATAGATCCTAGATTTTTTTTTTTTAATTATACAGAAGCCCCAATTATCCAGCCATTGTTCAAAGCAAATTTAAACCTAGAAATTCTCCATTGTTTAAAAGATTTAACTTATTAAATCAAAAAAAGAAACACAAACACAATATTAAAACTACATTCAATATTCAAGTGGTTAAATATGAAATCTGAGGGGCCAAAAAGGTGGTTCTACTGGTAAGGGCACTTGCTGCCAAGTCTGGCAACCTGAGTTTTATTCCTGGAACCCACACAGCAGAAGGAGAGAACAGACTCCCAGAAGTTACCCTCTGACCTCCATATGCATACCATGGCAGCATATACCCTGTACACTCAAGAAAGAAGGACGGAAGGGAGGGAGGAAGGAAGGGAGGGAGGGAGGGAGGGAGGGAGGGAGGGAGGGAGGGAGAAAGGAAGGAAGGAAGGAAGGAAGGAAGGAAGGGGAGGGAGGAAGAAGGGGAAAAAGGAAGGAAATTTAAAAAATGTTTAAAATATATTAAACCCAAAACACTCTTATGATCCACCCTCCCATGACTAACATTTTACTTAATAGCAGAACTAAGGGAATGATTAGCCAAGAGAAACATCTTGATCTTGAAATGTTAAAATAATGGGTTCTTGTAACAACCATGATCTCCCAGTTGGTCTAAAGGCTTTAAAAGTTCCTCTTTTTTTTCTCTTCTTGTCATTGTGACACCGAAGTGAGAGTCCAGGACCCTGCCCAGACTAGGAAAGCACTCTACCACCAGGTTATTAACCCCAGCCCTGAGGGTTTCAAAGTTTAAGTAAAAGTGATCTTGAAGCGGGACACTTTGTTGTTGTTGTTGTTGTTGTAACACTTAGTGAAGTCTTTTTTATTGTATTTTTTATTTTATAATTTAATTTAATTTTACGTATCAACCACGGATTCCCCTCCTCCTGCGCCCCCCCACCCTCTCCCCTCCCACCCCCCCATTCCCATCTCTTCCAGGGCAAGGACTCCCCTGGGGATTCAGCTCAACCTGGTAGATTTGGTCAAGGCAGGTCCAGTCCCCTGCTCCCAGGCTAAGCAAAGTGTCCCTGCATAGGCCCCAGGTTCCAAACAGCCAGCTTATGCACTAAAAACAGGACATTTTTTATCCTCCAGAACAGTTTGCAAAATTTTCTCTCTTGCTTTAATCTGTATTTTTCAAATTTGGGGAAAATCACCCTAGCTGATCAGTGAGAAAGTGTTTAAGATTCCTCAAACTTCAGAGGCTGTTGCCCAACTGCCCAATAAGCTACTTCTTGACTTATGGCCCCTGGTCAGAAAGGAAAGTTTACCTCCAACTACAGAGTTGTAACGAAAAGGACTTACACAGCAGCTGGCCATGGTAATGAAGCCTGTAATTCCAGCACTCAGGAGGCTGCAGCAGGATTATAGAATCAAGGCCAGCCTGGGCTACAGAGGGACTTTTAGGACAGCCTAGTGTATACAGGAAAACCCTATCTAAAGAGGGAGAGAGGGAGGGAAGGAGGGAGGGAGGAAGGGAGGAAGGGAGGAAGGGAGGAAGGGAGGAAGGGAGGAAGGAAGGGAGGAAGGGAGGGGAGAAGAGAGGGAGGGAGGGAGGAAAAAAGGATGGAGGGAGGAAAAGAAAGACCATTCATTGAATTAGTATAGCAGATTTAACCTATTCTCTCCATCTTTTTAATCAAAAACACTTCAAAAGAGGCACTAAGAATAGCAGAGATACCCAAGATACAGTTGGGGTGGAAGCAAATTTTCCACGTTTAGTAGGAAATGCTTGAAATTCAGTATAAAATAACAACCTTGGAGTTCAAAGGTACACCACTTTCTTCTTGGATTGAAGTCTGACTTTTGAATGTTCGACTGGCTTGTCATTTTTCAAGTGTGCAATTAGCTAACTTCTCTAATTCCTCTTCCAAATGCCACAACACAGGCTCCTGACCATGGCTGACACTACAAAACAGATCCGCGCTGTCTCGAGAATTGCTAGCTTGAAGTTTATGCTGACCAGAGGCTTTCTGCCTATTTGAACTCACCCTGATCATTTCCAAGAAGGGCTATTTGGTGCGTCCACAGAATAAAAACACAGTGTGCCTGTGAAGTCATACATTTGTCAAAAGATAAATAAATATCTACTGCCTCTTTTACTGTCCTTTTCTAAACAGACAGACTGTGCTTAATCGACTTTTCATTCTAGCCCCTGAGACAAACAGTATTGACATCTGGACGGGCCTCCACCCCACTTGGGTATGGCAATGGGCTCTTCAGCTGGGCACTGAGACTCCAAAGTAGGCCTGGGGGAAATGTAAATGTAAGCCGAACTATTGCAGCAGAGGGCAGCTTGTTTCTAGCGACTCTCTTGTATGAACATATAGGAAGAGGTTCTCGTGAAAAGTGCCGAGCTGCTGGGCCAGAGAGCAGACTCAGGACAGAAAGTACTCGCCCCATGAGCATACAGGCCTCAGTTTGATGTCCAAAACCCACAGAAAAAGCTAACAGCAACAGTACACACTTCTAATTTTAGCACTGAAGAGGGAAAGGCAGGAAGATCCTTGGGCTTCATGGCCAGTCAGCCTAGCTAAATGAGATACCGTGTCTCAAAAAAAAAGGTGGATCATACTGAGAAATGACACCTGTGGTTGACCTCTGCCCCCCTCACACGCATACATAACATCTACATACACACAAAAACATATACAACATACATGCACAAACAACTATATGTACTCAAATACATGCACTATATATACATACATTATATATATACACACTACATAAATGCACACAATACAAAAACATATGGATCGTGTGTGTGTGTGTGTGTGTGTGTGTGTGTGTGTGTGTTATATATGCGCCATCTGCTAAGATCCTATTTTTTTAAAATAAACTCTTATATTAAACTTGCTATAAAACTAGACTGTAAGGATTTCCTATTAGAATTCAGTATCATGCATCCTTTGATCATATGGTGGTTTGAATGAGAAATGTTCCCCATAGTCTCACGCATTTGAATACTCAGGCCCCGCTTGGTGGCACTGTTTGGAGCTGTTTAGAAGGCGTGGTCTTGC